CGCATCACAGGATTCCCCTTCTCATACGTGAAAGGGACAAAGAGTTGTCCGCCCCTCTATTAAAGGGCAGACATCAAAATTACGCCACTTCCTTATCGTTATCGATAAGGCGGCTAAAGTTCACAGCTGTCGTGAGTTTGAATATATATACAACTATAGTAATGCAAACCAAGCGGGTTTTATGTTTCGTCCTTTTAGTTCGCTTTTGAAACTTTAAAAAGATCATATTTAATTTTTAGGTAAATCTTCAGTTAACAGTTTTTTCTCACTTTTCATTTTATGTATATAATAAAATTATTCTATTTCTGCAAAACATGAACGTTTCAAAAACGTTTTATATGCATCATATGTGGGAGAGATATTTCACACTTTGTTTGCAAATATTAACCTGGGGGCATTCTTGCTAAAATATGACCGACTTTGTATATTCAACTCATCCTATCTGTAAAAGAAAAAATGAGCCGCGTCATGACAAAACCAACATAATGGGTTTGCGACCAGCATGGATCCAGACCAGCTTGCGCATCCGCGCAGTCTGATCAGGATCCATGCTGTTCGCTTACAAACCCTATTACAAGTAGAGAAACTGATAGCGAACAGCATGGATCCTGATCAGACTGCGCAAACCCATTATGTTGGTTTTGTCGTGACACGGCTCAAATAATGTTTTTGTATTAATTTTACGTCGCACCGACACAGAATAGGTCGTATTGTGACTTTCAAGCTTTACTGGTCGGGGGAGACCTAGGACGTCACTTTATGCATTATTTCAGGTATAAATGAGTAGAACCACAGATGTTTCGTTAACTAGCTGGATGGCTTTCTCATATGAAAGAATTCAAAGATGCTGGCGCGGCCCGAGAGGCAAGTTGTTTGAAGCCAACGATCTTAATCACTCGACCACGGGAGACCCAAAAAAGGTAACGTGATAGGCTGCAAGAAAAAATAGATTACACTTAGGCAGACAATACAAGTCGTATTATCGATTGTGTCACTCACTGTTCAGTGGTTTGTTTTAGTCGTTTTTTTTTATGTATTTCCTTATATCTCACTGAATTGATATACTTCGTTTGATTTTAATTGCTTTAAAAGTGCGCCATTAAAAAGATTTCTTTCCATGCAACTCTCGTATTGATAACTCTTCTATCTTGAGAAATATTCTGGCGAGAAAAAGGCGAGAATAATAAAAAGGTTCAAAAAATGTACAAATGAGTGCGTGCGTGCCTTCATATCCTAGCTTTATTGAATGTCCATCCGGCCTGTCTAGCATGGGGACTACAGGTCACGGACATGTCACCATTTATGCCGTTAAAGGTAAAAATTTGTTTACAAAAGTTTTAGTAGATCGGACAGGAATTGCCGGACAAGCTTATTGCACAGGTGTTTTTTTTTCACAGAATGAATACATACGAGTGTAATAAAAGGGCTTATTTTTTAAGGAAGTAACCAAATGAACTAGAATGCAGCTTCTCCCAGGTTGTTTTGGCATTCTTTCATTCAAATTTGACATATTCAAGAAGAATTACATATATTTCAAATCATTTCTTAAAAGAAATTATAACCCAAAGATAAACATAGTATTTCTTTAAATTTGGGACAGGTAATGCATTCTGTTTGAAAACTGTGGTATAAATCAGTAATGTCTTCTGCTACGAAATTATCAGGCAAAAACTGAAATATATTTTGTATATATCTGTCGCCGCGGTTTAATTATCTCGTGCATATTGGAGTCATTTGGGTTCGTGTTTTATTTTTCCTGCTGGCAAGAGACCAGTATCGAAATTATTAGAACATGTTCTGTAAATTATTGAGTAATTTCCTGCTCGATTAAATTGTAATTGGAAATTAAATAGTTGGATTTATTGTGTTGTATATATTGCAATTTTCCATTCGTGGTTCAAAATTTGATCGAGATAGAAGATGATTGGGATAGAGCTGTAGAGAAAAAGAGAAAGGAAAGGGCGAGGTTAGTATATAACAAAACTAACTTCAAAAGAAAGGGGAAATAAAACTAAAGTGACAAATTTAGTTTATTATCAATTATATTTTATTAATATATTTTGTAAGATTGGCTGTTATAATGGCGATTGATAATGAAAAAATGTTATGATACAATTTTAAAATGACCTAAATTATAAAAAAAAAGACTGCCCCACTCTTTTTTTTAATTTTACCATTACCGGTACATTTTTAACAATATTTATAGAAATTTCCATTGGTCACGTGAATATTATTGATTATATTTTCATAGTGAAATATACAATTTAACACATGTTTTACAAAATGTAAAGTTATTTAGATTTTTACCTATTCACTGACCATTTACTCTTGGATGGACGCAATGCCACTTAAATTACCCCTTTAAAGGATTAACAATAATGCAAATTAGATGTTGATAACTTTGCTACCAAATTTTACCTTTATGTTAAAGAATAAGTTTTAAGTATCATTTTATTTATTTTTGCACACACATTTTGTATCAAATATTAAATATCCTGTATGTTGTAATTCAGGATGTAACAGCACTTAAATGAAATTTAATATATGTATTTAATTAGCCATCTAAAACAATTTCCAAACATCCTAGAATATGTTGAATATATACTGCAAATGTTTTTGTCGCATTATAAGTTATTTTTAGAATATATGCATGGAAAAATTTGGCTTAGACTTTATCGAAAATAAATTTCTAATTACCTCCCTTTATTTACATGAAATGTAAATCCGGTTGTATATCTTTACAAATAATGATTTTTTTGAAACTTACAATATTGATAAATCTTTATTTGAGCATCATATTTATGATATAAAACTATAAAAAATGGAGTGACACGATCTTTAACAATTGTAAACCAAACCTCGGCGTGGTCCAATTTTTTCTACTCAACATTGAGCCTGCTGGTACATGCTGGTACAAGCAGATTCTACCCTGCTGGTACAAGCAGATTCTACCCTGCTGGTACAAGCAGATTCTACACATGCGACCAGTGCAGACACAGAGCAGCCGGAACATCCGTGTCGACTGGAGAACACGGTATGTACGGCTCCCTATTCAGTTAGTACATATTTAAAGGTTTCCCTAAAACTATTAAAGGAACGCCACTGAGGCCCAAAAGCCTAAAAACATAAAATCTGAATTTTTAAAATATATCCGCTGGGGCACTTTAAACAGAAGGATATGCAATAGATAATTAAGAAATAACTGAAATATACTCAGAAATAAATTGAAATTCGAATTTTTATGGTATTCTTTGCACAGTTTGAGTGAAAAGCGTTGCAAAGTTTTTTCCAATTTTGAGTCATTTTTTTCACTATATCAATATGATTCTGGAAAAAAACGAAGTGGGCGAATGATCTGATATTGTGCGCAAAAGGTTTTGGTCTAGACCTTCATCTATTTGATTATTAATCTAGAAAAATTATTTCCAGTCCTGTCATGTTAAACCTCTGTGGAATCCATTTAATGGACTTATCATGATTGAGAGACGGACAAGTCTATTTTGCGATATTTAGAGTGGTAAACCTTAAACACGAGAATGGTTAACTTTAAACACGAGCGTGGTAAACTTAAAACACGACTAGACAGTAGGAAATTAAGCAACAGTAAACAAACATATTTGGAATATTACTTTATTCAAATTTTCACAGCATTCATATGATGCAATATTTACAAAAATTCAATATTTACAAGGAACATTAGTATAATGTTGTTGTTTTTTAAATTTAATATATTTTATAATATCACATTGCATACGTATATAATTATATATTAGGAAAATCATGAAAAACTCTGAAGGTGAAGTGGAGGAAAAACATATCTACAAATATACTAGAGGACAAACATGGACAATTACACATTACTATCATTTGCTTCATTTAAAGCATGAATGTAACATCCGTTACGCAGTTATAGTAACGTAATTCACTTCACTTATAATTAAAATAAATTTTTTATGATATCAATAATTATTTTCAATAAATAATCAATTTCTATCAGATTATTGTAAAATAACTTAACCAATGGTATTTGGATACCTGATTTCATCTAAGACTTAAAAAAATTATATAAAATATACGTAACGCATATGTTTATATGTAACAAACACCAATTGTTGAAGCAATTGTCATAAAAAGGGGGAAATACATTTAATATAATGAAAATATTCTGTCAGCATATACAAACGCAAACAATTTAAAACATATGAAGGAAAAATCGATTTGTTATTATTATGAAAAATAATTGTTATATTCTATATCTTTATATTTTAGCAAACGTAAAATGAAACGAGTTCAATTTTAACCCTTTGCCTGCTCAGAGTGATTGATGACGACACGGTAACAGACGGCAATTTAACAGACGACAATTATTTTCCCGGCATGCAAAGGGTTAATATAGCACAAAGCAGTTGAAGAACTTCAAAGTTCACCAAACATTTTAGAATATATAAATAGCAGAACCGAATTGAAACCTAGTCAGAAATTATATATACAAAGAAGAAGAAAAAGAAATTTTCACAAAGTTTATACAAGAAATGAATATCTGAAATTTGAATGTTGATGAAGATTAATTTAAGGTGTGATTTAATGCAACAAGAGTACATAGGAATAAAATTACACTCAATCAATGACAAACAACCATTGCATTTGTTATATAATATGAGCCAATAAGCCCATGTTCAGTTCAAAATCGTTTTCTAGAGCAAAAGAAACATTTCAATGACAAAACCCATTGAACTTACTTTAATTGTTTTCAATGTAATTTTTATGCTAGAAATTTAAAGAGTTATTACATTTTTGGCATCATAAGTCTGTAGAAATTTCTAAAAAGTGTTTGAATCTTACTTTATTATAATCCATTCTAGTGTTACTGACACAATGAACTTTCCATATTTCTATTTTTTTTCTGACGCAGTCTTTCTAATTTCGTCACACATACTTTGAAAACGTATTTGGAACTCATGATTGATTACCTCCCTTTCATTCGTCTTACAAAAAAAAACTTTTTAAAATTTGTTTTATAATTTGACGCCCATGCGTTTGAGTGCCAACATTGCGTTAACCGCTTTTTGCCACTTCCGTCTGTAAACGAACTTTTTCAAGCGTTTAGTTGACAGAGACCTTGTCGGAATGCGCTCACGTTTAGCAGATCGCTGAAATATATAGAAAAATGTCGTTAGATAAGATATTTAAGTGTTCAAAAGTCTTCGTTGGTCGCCATGTCTGTTGGAAAAAGATAGCTCGCTAATTTCCGACCGAAATTTGACAACATCTCAGATCTTTATGATTTTGGTATGCAAACATGTAGATATGTCCTCTTTACTTCCGCAGTATTTTTTGTAATGAAAGAGCGTTGGTATGACGTCAAAGCGCCCTCTGTTGCAAGTTAAGATGAAGTGCAAAGTATCAGGTATGTGTGTTACTTGATTTCACAATTGGACCCTCAGCCATATACAAACTTGTAAAATTTGAAATGATATCTTACAAACAACCACTAGTAAACCTCAGCGACTTATAAATCATAAAAGCACAATTTATCTTACCCTTAGCCACTTATAATCTCAGCTACTTATAAAACCCAAGCCACTTATAAATTGGTGAAAATAAAACAAATCTTACCCTCAGCCGCTTATAAACTATATTATTGAAGTGTAAAAATGAGTTTACCCTCAGCCACATATTAACCTCAGTCACTTATTAACTAGCGAACATAATAGAAATCTTACCCTCAGCCACTTATAAACTAAAATATTTTATTGTAAAAATGAGTTTACCCTCAGCCACATATTAACCTCAGTCACTTATTAACTAGCGAACATAATAGAAATCTTACCCTCAGCCACTTATAAACTAAAATATTTTATTGTAAAAATGAGTTTACCCTCAGCCACATATTTACCTCAGTCACTTATTAACTAGCGAACATAATAGAAATCTTACCCTCAGCCACTTATGTTCCAGACATTCTGTAGCCGTCATACGTTTCCTGAAACCAAATTTTAAAGAATAATTTATTTTGTTTACATACTAAATGACTATCTAATTTCCAAGTCAGTAATTGACTTAATTAATTTGTTCCTTCACCGGCGACGGTGGTTAGTGGTTACATTTAGGTTAATTTCATGAGACTGATTATCACTGAAATATCAATGCACAAATGCATTTTTCTGTAATATTATTCTGAAATCAGACTGACAAATCCTAGACATGTTGTCATAATGTGCAAACAGTGAGAGAGTTACTTATATCATTTATATCTCATAATTGTTTTTCATATTACGCAACTGGGATGGTAAACCATAACATCGCTCATTCGAGACGAACGCACACTCATTTTTTTTGCTAATACTAGAACAAGCCTTTAGGGCTATACTAGACAAAAAGATAAGAAAATTTTATATTTTTATATACATTTTTTCTAGGTATATAAATTACAAATGTTGGTATCCCGAGATCATTAGTATTGAGCTCTATAAAGAATGTCCGTGATTACAATTTATATTTCTTTCATTTATATTTCTTTGGTATCATTTCACCACCTTGGGGATCAGGGTATCATCAAATTTTATAAGAAAAATACATTATGCGTACACAGCCGTAAGATAAAAGTGTATTATTACATAGATACATTTCATCATGAAACTTAATCAAATCAGTTCTCCAACAAGACAAAACACTCAAGCGAGTTTCCAAGCTATGAATGGCTTGAAGCACTGAGACAAGTTTCTGTTAAAGCGGCCTTCAGCTTTTAATTTTTTGTTGAAGAAAAAAAAACATTTCTGTGTTGTTTCAAACTAAGTATACAGTTCAGTATCTTATAGTATCATATCTTCAATCAGACATCAAAACGTTCAGTACAAACACATTTGAATTATTGGGCTGGAAAAAAACAAAACCCAAAATAAACAAACAAACTCACGTTGTATCTTTCACGATTAGTTTTGATATGAAGTCTTTTGCTTCAGCAGATATACTCTCAAACTCTTCAAGCTTTGAATCCCATTGTTGGGCGTCTGCTATATTAGCAATTGGGTTCGCCTCACTGCACGAAAACGGCGATAACCCCCGAAATCTCGGGATGAAAGGGAACATGTACAACACGGAAATGAATAAATTACTATTTTGGACAATGTTTAAAGATACATTCAAATAGGAAATAATTTAATCCATTAAAATCAAAATTTTATATGCAATATTTGAATAATTATGTTCTAGAGATACAATGATATATGCAGTATCTATGTTAACACACATAACCTCATTATATTCTGATTAACATTGTTTTGTATGTGCGTGCGCGTGCGCTCGTGTGGGTGTGCGCATGCTTGTCTCTGTTGTCAGTGATGACGCTTGCGTCTGTGTACACACATATTCGACCACGTTTAATATGCATTTATGCATCGATGAACGTTGAAGACTTACTTAATCAACTTTATTATAGGACAATAATATTGTGTTTTCAACTCATTCTTCTCGTAAAAATTACAGTTATTTATTAATTGACATGAACATAAGGAAATTATCAAGAAATTGGTAACGGACACTTACAATATATAGCAGATGATTCCTATACTCCACATGTCTGTCGATGGAAAGATAGGCTCAAAGTTTGCCTGTTCCGGTGCCATGAATTCCGGTGTACCAAACAATATTCGGAGATCTTCGTTCGGCTTATATCGTCTTGCGAGGCCAAAATCGATTATTTTGATTCGATTTCCTTCTCTTGTAAGACAAAGTATGTTCTCGGGCTGAAGAAATGTAATACACATTTATGAAACTAGACTAGAATGTGAAGAAATAACAACATGCACATATGTGCCAGACGGAGAGCATGACTTACGCAAACTAAAATCGCTATGGTGTGGAAACCACAAAGACAAAAGAATTTTTAAAATTTTCAGTACCAAATCGATATAAAATTCCTTTCCCCCCTTTTTAGGTAAAGTATGATAAACCAGATCAACAAGGAAAAGCAACGACCAATGATCGAAAAGGTAAAACGAATATATTATCTCACTTCAAATTCATAAGCATTTCTCATGGATACATGTAATGCTTCTATTTATACCACAAATTTCTCTAGGAACAGGACATTATTTACTTACTCAATTGTCATTTTGAAACACAAATATAGACCCGAAAGCAACATTCAAAGCGCAGCTTAATAGATAACACACGTACACATATACCAGTAACGCATATTTAGATATTTTACAATACACTAAAAAATCAAATGCACATAAATAAAGCAATGTGAAAACAATGAAGCGGCGAACAATGACAATATTACCATGAAAATAACAGTGGGGCACCGCTTTTATATATTAAAATGATACTTAAATTTAAATCTACGTGCTAAATATGAAGAATTATTCAAGAATCACATAGATGAAATCGTCTAAATAAAACAATAAAAAGAGCGAATGAATGCAAAAAATAAAAATACGAACAAAAAACACAGAGACGGTCATATGTACACAGTGGGGCACCGCTTTGAAGCGGTCAATAGTTAAATGAATACTTGCCTTTAAATCAAGATGCAAAATACTGTTATTATGCATAAATTCTATGCCTTCACATATTTGTCTCATAAACATTATGCAAGCCTTCTCTGTGAGTATAAAATCATCATTTATGACACGTTCAAATAATTCACCGCCAGATATTCTGGAAATCATGAATAAAAAAAGTCAATACTTTATTTGTTAGAAAGCCATGTTTCAAAAGGTTTTAGAGTTCAGACATAGAAAGAAAATCAGTGATGTTTAAAAACAGTTTCTTTGTCAAGATCGTAATTCTATTAGATAAAATGTAAAAAATAATAATTAAAACAAAAGGAAAAACTTTTTGGTCTTATATGTTAAATATGCCTTATTGGAAAGCATTTTTTTCATATCATTACGATACAAAAGTATAACACGGGTTGCATGGAGTGTTTTATGTTTTAAATCTTATCCATTGAATAAAATAATACATTTATAGCCCCTTTTTGCGAATAAGGTATATGGCTAATTGTATCAATTTCATTTTCAAATCACCAAGAGAACAATCATTCCCTGCTTAAAATTACAATTGGACGGAGATTTGAACAAATGATTTTAACAGGAATGTATGAAAAATGGAATAATTATCAAATATTTTGAAACATCAGCAAAACACTTACAGCTCCAGTACCAGACAAAAATGGTTTCTTTTCGTGAACACATCATATAACTGTAGTAATCGGGGGTGTTGTAAATTCTTCATCATCTCAATCTCATTTTGAACATCGAACCGGTCCTGAGGTCCGTTCACCTCTATAAACTTTGCTGCCAGCTCTCGTCCTGTTTTCCGCTCTTTACACTGTTTAACTTCACCAAATTTACCCCTGTGAAGAACAAAATAATTGATTCATGTATTAGAATCGAATTTCAACATTTTGTCCTAACTTATGATATATATTGTTCATTGTTTTAGCTTATTGTTCTCACCTACACCCCTTCCTATCTTCATATATCTATAAGGTCTTGTTCTCCAAGTTCATTTTTAGGCTTGATATTCACTGTGAACACAGCCGAATTAACACAACTGTGAATTATTCAGATTTCATTATTTTGATGTTTAAATGTCGTTCTATTCTTAAACCGGTGCTTGGGGCCTAGATGGTATTTTTCACTTTACACTACCCACTTGAGCCGACCCAATCAAGCCTAGTCTGCAATATAATCCCGCTTTGGGCGTTGTCTTTTATTACTTTTTTTGTCTTTTTTCGAAGGTAGGGTGGAGGTGTTTGGGGTATCATGATTTTTTTTATGACGTAACTATGGCAATAGCTCATCACTCCCATTTCTTCTTACTTTGTCATTGTAATATTTTACGAGCAATTACAGTAAACCATTACGTTTGAAAAAAGTACTTTCTTTAGCGATAAAAATAGCTGGTCATAATTTTTCAACCAGGGCATATAATGATGAAAAATTTTTTTACTCTATAACCTACTTTTACAATTAAAAAATGTCCGCCCCTAGGGGCAAGTTCAAATTTACAAAACAACGGGCAATGGAAAAGAGAAAAAAAGTCTCCCCTATCACAGCTTGACATTTATGTGTAATAATGGTAATTCCTCGTCTTAACGGCGCGATTAATATGTTTCAGTAGAACATTGCGGCACTTTTGAGAATACATTTTTTAATGTTTAATCTACATGGTCGTCTGAAAAATGATTGGTTCAGCGCACTATTTCAATTTATTCTGTAATAGGCAGATATCTCGAGAGATCTCGGAAGCTTTGAAGACAACATAAAGAAAGTAAGACACACAAACTTAATTTGATTGAATCTTCACATTACAGACAATAGAAAGAAATGCAACATCATGTAGGCTCCTTAGCACCAGATAAAACAGTTAATTACCTTCGCCAATATTAAAAAAGAACGAACAGGAAGACAATCCATTCATACGTGATAAAAAGCAATGATAACAAACACCATGTAAAATTCTATTGTTTGACCTTCCATTTCAAGATAATTCTGAGTCATGGTCAAGTTCAGTATGGTCTACTTTAAGGTCATGTAGTGTGCCTTAGTATGTAGACAATCCATTTAGAAATAGAACAAATGAAAAATGTTAAATGTTTGGACGGTAAGGCCTCCATGACGGTATCAATACCTATATTATTTTTTTTCTTCGAAAACAAAATCAATGTTTCAAATTAAAACTAGTTTCTAAAACATATACTGCTAGTATACTTTGATTGGTTTAGTCTGGTTTTACTGCGCACCAACACAATTTAGGTCATATGGCGCCGAAACAGGAAAAGTGATTTTTCCAAACATCGGGTGTTACCTAAAGCTACACCAGGGGTCAGATCCAGCTCACTTGCTGAAGCTAAGATATGCATAGACTTCAGTAATTCAAACCCATTTAGTCGCCTCTTACAATCACACAGCAATTCTGATGCCTCAACCCTTAAAGGCAACCCCTCAGCCACAAGGGGATTCTTATATACTTTTGATTCATTTCTGTGTTTCTCATATCATAATGCTTTGTCTCTTTATTTGCAAGTTAAGCAATCCCAATTGTCCTTCATGAAGTATTATGCAATCTTATGTACCTTTATACAAATTTCCTAACTAATTGGAAAAAAATACTGTTAAATTTTTATAATAATTATATAATATGGAAACTAACTAGGATTTAATGGTATGCAGCTTAACTGATATCTGCTTTTTATTTATTATTGCCACAGGATAATTAATTCTGATCAAGACATCACATAACTGAAATATACTTGTTTTATCAATTAGCAATATGCTTTTATACTTTGTAAGTCTATTCCGCGCTATTTATAGATTATGACGTCATTGCGCGAGGTGTCGCGTGGTGTAGCTGCACAATCGTATTGTAGGCATTGATAAAATCCAGCATTATGTGCTCTTCCGGTTAACAACCACAATCTCAAGAACGAGTTGGCCCATGTTCAAGATTTGGAGTATAGAATAATGTAACTAGAACTGTCAGATATACCCAAGTCAGTACTACATCAGTAAATTTGTTATTTAAAGAAATGAGCACTGAATATGATATAGCAACATTCACCTACAAGTAATACAAATTTTCATTCATTCTCAATGGGGTATTAGTGAAATTTGATTCATAGTACTTTTGCTTTACATTTCACAAAGAAGAGCGTATGTTGCCGCCGCTGCAAGAATAGCAACAAATCAAAAAGGGGTCTACACAATACCAAACTTTTTTTACAGTGGTGAAAAAAGTTTGAAACAGTACATAAATGACAGGTTCGGACAAAAAAAATGAAAATACCACAGATATTTTCCAATTGCGAAAATAAAATGTAATGATTGCTATGATAACATGATAGCAAGTAATTGTTTTGAATTGTTATAAATAATATGTTTCAAAGATAAGTTTGGATGTTATTAGAAGAAAGATATTCCATTAATTAGCTAAGTATTAGAAAGAGCATCGAAACATTAGGCTATCTGATTTGTAAGACGGTCATAGCCTTTTCTATAATTATCCCCCTTTCTGTGTCGTCACAATAAGAAAATCCATCAAATAATGTAGCCATTCAACAGTCAGTGCGGTAACTGGAGTGCAGATATTTGTTATTGTGGATTTGTGGGTATACGATTTAATTCTGACATATTTTCAACAAAAATGTCTCCAAACCATGATACAATTAGCTTCAAATTGTGTTAAGAAGGTTATCTCATTGAAGACATACCTGCCCAACAATAGATCGGAGACGTCATACTCGTCCGTGATCCAGCAGCCGTTCCGGATTTTAACATCACGTGACTCGAAGGGAGCCTCCTCGTCTAAAAATAGAATAATATATGTTTCCGTATAGCAATTTTCAGAGTTAAGTTTATTAGTATTCTCACATAGTACCTGTGGACAAATTTAGAGAAAAAACATGTCCTTGCCGGAGACAGTATGAAATTGACAAATGTGATTTTACTTTTTACAAAATAGGGGGTTCTTATAAAAAATGGAATGGTTAGGCGTTATCAATCTTATATTTGATTTCAATTTATATAGAAATACAATGGAAATAAGACAAATAGATTATATTTAATATGGTTAAATTTGTATAATCTAAGAGAAACTATTTAAGTTAACATAGGGTCGGCATTTGTCATATATAAGGTAAGAAATACATGTAGTCCATAATAAGCCAGCAAACATACATAATTAAAAAGTAGCAGCATCATGCTTATATGTTTACCTTAGGGTACAACTTAATATGATTAAGGAATGAAGTGGAAACCATTCTGTTTCAGTAGTATTATTGATAAAACAAAATAAACCACTTTTAATGAACCCTTACATTGTAGCGAGCCATAAAAAGATTACTCTGTGCCACCAATATAAAGCCTGACCGTGCAATCTGGCAGCTTTTAAACCTGAAACATGTGGCGTGCCAATATCTAAATTTTCATCTTCGTCTTCCCACAATTGATGATGGCCAGCTGGCTCAAACATCAAAACTGGTCAAGACAAAAATCAAGCACAGTAATGGTATAAAACTTACGTCCAGTAGGTTCACTTTCGTCTACATGTACTTTGGAATGATTCATTTTGTTTTGGTCCAATGCCATACACCTGAAATATAAAATAGAGGGTAAAAATTTTTTATATCGTTTTCCGTTTTATATCTACCCTTACTACATGCTTAGTTAAGTCAAAATATTTGAGTTTATCAGAAATTTAACCTCAAGTATATGTAGTATAGCGTAAAGAGAGTATTCTGGTGGAATTTTGTTTTTAGAGCATATCTGAACAGATATTTGCATGTTTTGTCACATTTTTTATCGTCTACTCTAATTCCATGCTTGCGCCGTCTGATCAGGATTCATACTGTTCGCTTACAAACCCTATAACAAGTAGAGAAACTGACAGCGAACAGCATGGATCCTGATCAGACTGTACGGATGCGCAGGCTGGTCTGGATCCATGCTGGTCGCAAACGCATTATGTTGGTTTTGTCGTGACGCGGCTCATATAGCATAACCTTTCAAATCTCAGAATCAACTTCTACTGCGAAGTGAACCTATAATATGTAAGGGTTGCTTAATTTCTTTGGTCTTTTATTTTGCACGGCTTATTTAATTTTATTTCGACTCTGCTTGCACGATTTTTCAAGGTTAAGGGAGAGACATGTCTGTTTTCTGGTTTGATTGAACTATTTTGGTTTCTGTGAAGCGGTTTCGCTTTGTATATTATGAACTGAATAGATAAGAAATGCGTGTCTTAAATTAAGTTTATGGTTTTAGTTACTTTCGCAGAATCATTAAACTCGTCTGCAAAATGTAAATTTAGCGAAAACGCGAGACTTTAAAGGTCCCGTGTCCTTGAACTTTTAACATTTATATTATCATTAGTATACTAACGTGATATATGCATGTATAAGATATAGGTATAATTCTGAACCTCAAAGAATACTATACTTTTTGTTGTTGTTGTTGTTGTTGTTGTTGTTAACGCTGTTGCTGGTGTTTGAACGTGCTGTACTTATTGCTGTTTTCTTTAATTTAAACATACTTAATTGCAGCATATACATATAAATATTATACAGATAATGAGTATATAACAAAATACAAATGGGTTAGGCAACAAGTTCTAGCAACATAAGATTAAGCCCTTCTTTGTCTTATTTCTTAATTCACCTTCTCAATTTATTAAACTCTTTGTAATTTAAATAAGAAATACAATCATAACTGAAGCAATACAATTTTAATTTGTTGTTTTTAAAACACTTAACTGCTTGTATAAAATCTATTTAAAAACTCTACGCCATGAATATCATACATGTAAAAGGCAATTATGTCTAAAGCCAATCTGCAATCTTGAGAAAATTGAAAGTGTATAACATTTAATTTTTATTTATTTATTTATTTATTTATTTATTTATTTATTTATTTAAGGGCATAATAAAAAGAAGGTTGGTTATAATGATGTCGGTGTATATCGCTATTACTTTAGGTAATTTTGCACAATAAAAAATTATCTTCTGGAAAAAAGGACTGACCAAAAGGATCTGAAATTTTGCACACAACTTATTGCTATAAATCTGCAAATCTTAGAGAAGAAAAAAAAGAATCTTCGTGGAAGCCCTTTAATTTCTTATACCGCTGACAGCAATATATTCTACCAATGCGACCAGTGTATTACCATGCCCAGCACTGTTAATGTCCGCTATTCGTTCAGTTCATTTTTTTCAAATTTTCCCTAAAATTAATATTATAGATGATATTGTCCACATTTGAAAGTAAGAAAATTCCATTTAATATTTTCGGGGTAGTGATAGTAAAAATCAGCAGACGACGTTTATGTATGTGTGTGATTTATACAATTATTTCATAAACAAAAATTAAATCAGGATCTAATTTATACACTCTAATGCGTTTGGAGCCATCTTGGCTACAACAAATACATTCCATTTGCATAATAATCTTTATCAATGGGGAGCATTCTGTACAAGTGGTTTTTAACGAAATTCTTTGAGATATAGCATTTACACGAAAGCACATAAAACTTCAAAGCTGCTTTTCATGTATTTATCTCCATTTTCTAGAGAAATAATGCAAGCATTTAACTTTCTGAACTGCTTAAGACATTTACTGTGTTAGAGCAATGAAATCATTCATTCTGAACGTAAGTGAAACTTTATAATAGATGTATTTTTGGAAACGGCATGCAATAAACGGAAAGATAACTAAATGATTGCTGACTGATAAGTAAGATTTAAAATGCATGAATGAAATATATTGCATAATGAAGATAAAAATGGCTCTTGCAAAACACGCGTGCAAAAATTTGATGCATTCGAGACTTTTTTTTTATTTTTGTATATATTTTGTATATTGTCTGTTGTTTTCCTTTTCTTTTAATTTTGTTACGTTTGATATTTTGTTGTTGTTGATGTCTGTATACAATTTAAGTTGTTGTTGTTGTTGCTGCTGCTGCTGTTTGTTATTCCTTCTTTAAGCAAAGTTGTTGTTGTTGTTGTTGTTGTTGTTATTATGGTTGGTTGGTTGGTTTGTTTGTTTTGTTATTATTGTTTTAATCCTTCCTTAAGCATTGTTGTTGTTGTTATGGTTGGTTAGTTGGTTGTTGTTGTTGTTGGTGGGTGTCATTTATTTTGGAGATATTGTAAGAACCTGAGAAAGTGCCCCCACTATCATCAGCTGGCCGTTTGACGGTATGCCAAAGATTCATTAATCGTACGGATTTTTTCCCAATTTCACTGCGTTAGAAGATGTGCAAGGACTTTAGTGGTAAAAAAAAATACGACAATCGCATCTTCTCGGCCCTTTCAAACTTCGAACCCAATAGTAAGAATACACAGAACGGATACGATATTTCGGTCATACCAACGCGAACAATCTAAACATGTAATCAAATAGCCTTATAGTAAAAGTCCGCCAATTTACAGATATAACAGTAAACAATACATTATTTATATACTAGTTATTAATGGTTAATGAAACCTTAAGTACAAAATGTCTACCTGTTGACATTTATTTCTATTTGATTATAATTTTACATCAGTGAGCATTTTTGAATTGATATTGATTGTCAGACATATATTCAATCATAATTTGATCAAAATAGACTTTATTTTCCTTTCAATGTCAAATATATATATTAAAAATACATTCGTTATACTACACCATATCAAAAACCACGTGGTAGAACTACTTTCATATTAAGTCCGAGGTTACTACTGATAATAGCCAAGATGTTCCGATTGAGAATACGAATCGCGGTTTCTTAAAATGCTTATGCATTGATGTCGGTCAACAAGACCTAGCCACTAGCAAAAATCAAACTTCTAACGTGCGTTTAAATTGGGTTATCAGATGCAATGTTTAGGTAATATCCGCAATGTCTCTTATGAATTAAGTGTGCCAATTACTTTTAATGTTATAAGTGTGCCAATTACTTTTAATGTTATATATTTTAAAGCATATGTCTTAACAATATACGGTAATTTGCTGACTTGCTAAACAAATCGCATTATCAGTTTCAACATTTAATGCAATATCCGCTCGGTCTTTTATGAAATATACGAGTTTACGTCCACGCCCCCCCCCCCCGGCACCGGCTTACGTAGAATTCAACATTAGTCTCGGGATTGTGAAATACATGTGCTTTAAACAAGAAAACATTTACATAAATGAAATGGAGTTTTGAAAGGGAATCAGAGGTTATTTAGCCTGGGTTCCAGTTTGTCGATTTTTTATGTGCTTCTTTTCATTTAAGAATGATATTTCATCATTAATGCAAGCGACTGCAAAATTGTCATACAAAACACAATTAAAATTTCAAATTATTCCTTGAAAATAATGTTGATGTCCACTTACAACACTGGTGCATTTTGATGACACACAGCTAATGAATGTGTTTTTTATCTGATATAGTTTTAAAGATAGTATTCTGTTGATGGGTGTTAGAAGAATGTTTATTTACTCTAAGGATATGTTGCTCCTTTTCCGGCCGAAGGCCGTCTAAAATAACTTTGACGTTCTGTAAAATTTACATCGAAGAACTGAATATAGGGGATCGTTTCAATTACAAACTGAAATCTGGGGATCTCATTGGCCATTCTAAAATAAAATGTAAAGGAAAAAAGATAAGAATTGCCCAAATCAGTTACTGACGGAGAAAGGCGAAATTTGCCGGAAATGTACGAATATTTATAGAACGCTAAATACCTGAAAAAGAGATGCATACTGACAATTATTTACATGCTGAGAAAACATGGCAAGAAACGCTAGGATTCCAGATGTTATGGTTTATGTTTTATCGCACGAATAAATTGGATATGATTTTAATGATAAAATAAGTGCATGGTACAGGTACAACTGCTCAGAAAATTACTTGTAATAAACTTTTATAAATTTTAGAAAAAGCAAGCATTTGACATTATTTCCCATTTGTTAAAATGCTCCTCATGTCCAGATGGCTCAGTATTTTCCTTAAACTATAACTTGCATAAACAAATTTTGAATTTCAAGTCAAATATCTATGTAGTGACAATGACTACAAAAACAACCTTGTGTGAATTTTTGAATTTATGGCTAAGGGTGCATTCAAATTAATTCTAATTTATCAAATTTCTGAAAATTCATCATGCAATTTAAGTTCAAATGCTTGAAATTTTTTAAAGATAATTAATATTTCAACATCACATATTTCAAAAATTTAAACTTTGCATGCTGGAAAAGAATCGAATCTCATTTTTTATCCACATTTCTCGAAAAGAAACAAACATAATTAAGGAGCATTGTCTATTGTAAAGATTGGTACGTCATAAGGGAGATACTTGTCGTCTGGTCTTGTACGTCAAAAGACGCGGAGGTACTTGTTGTCAGGTCTGGAACGTCATTAGACGCATGGGCAAATGACTGGCACGGTCTGGCACGTGATAAGATGGACACGGATGTACTTGCTGCCTGGTCTGGTACCTCAAAAAGACTTGGAGGTACTTGTCGTCTGGTCTTACACGTCAAAAAAACGCGGGGGTACTTGTCGTTTGGTCTTATACGTCAAAAGACGCGGGGGTACTTGTCGTTTTGTCTTACACGTCAAAAGACGCG